CAAATGTTGCTGTCCTCCTCAGAAAAGGAGTTCAGGTAAGAAGCCAAAAAGATCTTACCCTCTCCTTCATGGAACCAATTCCTCAATCCTTACCTCTCTTGCTCCATATCTTCCTGGTGTAGAGAGATAGCTACTGCATCCCCCTCAGAGCCTTTATGAATGGCTCTCTCTTGTGGCCCCCAGAAACCAAGGAAATGGGTCAGGACATTCATTACTTTGGCCCCAACGCCACAGTCAGTTCCAATCCTCTTCCTCATCTTAGATCCTGCTCAGCTATGCTACCCAACCAAACAGGGTGAACAATGAGCCCCAGAGGAAAAGATGGCCTGAATAATACGCCAGCACTATAAAATTCCTGAAATTTACCACTACCTTATAAAAGTTAATACAAACTTTCTCCCATTATCAATTCAAACTGTTGCTTCCACAGAGAAATTTCAGGCCAAAATTCTGCCTTACCCTATTTCCTTTTACTGACTCAGTTCCAGGCAGAAGACGATGGTATTCAGGCCTTTGGGTAGAATCTGGGATCCTTCACTGGCAGCTGCGACCCGGGCCATCTGCCAATATAATTGGAGTAGAGGCTTTGCATCTTCAAAGTTTGACTATTTCAACCCTAAGACTCTCTTTTCCCTCTTTTCTATAATACCTAAGGGTCAACAGAACACAGGAGAATATCATAGCACCAGCCTTGTTCTCACAAAATTCAGAAGCACAAAGAAATTCCCAAGAATAATCTAAATATCGATTTCCATCTGAGGGTAGTCCCCAAGCAAAAGATAGCATCTCCCAGAACCCAGTACATTATCCTCCAGATGTTTTACCGCTAGTGCCAGCTACAGAGCATTGTAAAGACTTGGTGTTATCCAGGTCTGCACGGAAACAAAAAAAGAGTAAGTTCTCTTCCTTGAGATTTCAGGATGCCAGTGAATTTGTATCAACTGCTCGACTTCAGGCCTTGAGAAGTCAAGTTCACAGGGAGGGAGAAACCCTGCATCGAGTATAAATTGTGCCACTGTATGCTCTTTGCCACTGTATGCTCTTTGCCATGCACTGCCTGCACAACTGAGCTTATATGCACAATTAAAATGGCAACTGAAATAAAAAAATGAAAGATGTTCTAGTGCACTCCTTGCTAACTCTGCTGTTGCCAAGAGTAGTCAGCAGTGAAAAGATAAAGCCATCAGTATTTGAACTTAAATGTTAAAATAATAATAAAGTCTATGGTCTCCCTAAGGTTAGTTTATAATAAAAATAACTTCTTGATCCTGGAAAACTTATCTGGTTTCTTTCCTCCTTTCATTCTCCACTTAATGACTGAAGTTATTATTTCCATGGTGGTCTCCAAACCACACTCGGTTTCTATGTAGATTGGCATGTCACCTCCAACAATTTCGCCAGCTGCCTTTTCCTCTCAAGAGAATATGATTAAAATATTAATCCAGCTTCTTGACTAATCTAGCAAAAAAGTTATATAAATCAATCTCCACACAGCATTTTACTTGCTCTGAAATACGCAATGTGTCCTCCTTTTTGTGTGCCATGCCTCCACGGGAAGTGAGGTGCTAGCAGAGCAGACACAAAATTTTGACCTCTGCCCCTCTACTGCTTGTTCTGAAACCTGAAAAAGGGAGATTGAAAGCCTGAGTCAAAAATGTAGGTTTCCAAATGAGAAGAGATGAGCGGGGGGAAAAGGTCAGGGGTCTAGGTCATGTACCTCGGCTGTGCAGCTGTCTGGCAGTGACGGCCTTCGACAAGCGCCCGTAGACTGAGGGCCTGCTCCTGCTCCGTAAGCCAAGACGGCATTCCCTCGGCGGTGCTAATTCACCCGTTTGTCCTGCTCACTGGAAACCATTCAGAACTGCAAATCCATCACTCAGCAAGCATTTACTGAAACCGCCTCTGGGCCTAGCAGTGGGCTAAATCCTTGCTTTGGAGGAGCTTACAACCCAATTATACTATAATTAGAGACCAATCGAGTCCTCAACTATGTGAACTAAGTAGGAGCTTGAAGAAAACGATCACTGTAGGCTGGAATCGTTGAAAAGATTTCACAGAAATCGCAGGACTTCCAGGAAGAGTACAACACTTGAGGCTGACGGAGTTCATAAAACGTGCTGAGCACATAAGGACTCTTACCTGCGGAGGAGCTCCCCTTGGCATTCTGCCGGCACGGCTCATCACTAAGAAAACGGGATTCCTCTCAGGTCAAGAAGAAATGGAATCTTTCCTGAAATTGTTCAGTATTTGAATCAGGAGGGGGGACGTCGCCAATAAAATATTAAAATCAAGCTGACATCCTTAAGTTAGTTAGGCCTCCAATATAGAAATGTCACAGAAAGCAGCGGCGTTCCATCAGTGCCAAGAGAGGCTTGATGAGAAGCTGACAGCACTCTCCCGTGGAGTCAGGACACCAGGGCAGCGATAGGTCTGGTCTTTTTCCAAAGGGCACTAACAGCCGAGAAAGATCCTGGGTAATACTTCTAGAGTTGGGATTAGAATGATCAAGCGGGAGAATTCTGTCCCATTAATTTTTAAAAGTCATACTGTAGGTTTCAGTCTAAGTAACAAAAATAGTAATACTTTGTTTTGTTATTTTCCCTTAGCTACTAACTTTGCGTTCGTCTGCACATTTTAATTGAACTACGTGCCTTACATGACAGAGTCGTCTCTGGAGGAACAATCAGGTTTATCCAGCTCGTCCCATGATTAATGACAGACAGGTGGGCGGGAGGGAAAGCATTTTTCAACAGGGCAATCTGGGTTTTCCAAAAGAAAAAACATTAAGGCCTATTTTCTCCCTCATGGTTAGCTCAATTGCTGACTGAATCAACTGGTGTAGTAGGTTAGTTCTGAAATCATAATAGAGATTATGGAAAACTGAAATGCACCTCTCTCTCTCTTTGGGGAGGACTTTTTTTAAATGAAGGAAGAACAGTCATAATTCATTCCAAGTATCATTTGCAGATCAGGTTTTCCGTAAGGCCGACAGGGGCCTCACTTATACTGATGTTTCTGAATAGCTGGTCCACACTTCAGCCTGGGAACCAAAAGCAAAGTGGGCTGCGGTGGGAATGAAGGCAGGGCTTTCCATAGGCGCTGGAAGGTCAGTCAAGGCAGGTGCAACGTTCACTGGGCACTGAAGGGAACCCAGTTCACTTTCCTCCACGGAAAGACTAACGTGGGCCTGGAATCCACCACTCCCCCACCCAAGTCTCAGTGCTGTGACCGTATCAGAAGTTCCCGGTTATGGACATAGGCTGCAGGCTCAGAGAAGCTGCTCTCAGCCACCACCATCTGGGAATCCAGTTCGTCGTGCTGACCACAAGCTAGGACTCTTCCAGATCAGCAACTCCAGCTCTTTGCAGCAAACACACGTGATGAATGGTATGCATGTGTGGACACACCCCCATGGGTGTTCCTGGGGTCACACACAATCCCCCGATGCTGGCTTTAACCCCACCCCTTCTCCAAAGCAAGAAAGCATGGCAGATATGAGATGAAAGTCTAACAGGGAAAGGCTTGAATCTACACTACGCTAAGATACACTTTGAACAAAAATAAATGTCAGAGATGTCACTACATTATTAAGAAAAAGAAGTGAAACATTTCCAAGTTGCAGCGCCATGCTGAGAACTGCTGTCTCTGACATGACGCTGCTGGGAGCCTGGTCAGCCTGGAGCACCACCCTCAGTGGCCGCCAGCCACGCAGGCTGGTGCCTCCATGCTGCCCTTTCTTGACGGAGAATGAGCCACCGCCTGGGACTGCAGGAAGCGATGATTAAAAGCACACACTCTGGGGACAGCCTGCCTGAATCTGAGTCCTAGCTTCACATTTTTTGCTTCATTTGGGCTGTTCACAAATATTCCAGTTCTCCTCCCCCGAGGTAAGCGGGGGATTACGTTTCCCGCCACCTGGAAGTTGGGCTGAGCTCTGCGACTTGCTTTAACTCTTATGTGAGCAGAAGTGATGTGTCACTTCCAGGCCAAAGCCAGTCAGCCCTCCTTACACGTGTGGTCCACGGTCCAGCAGTACAGGAATCACCTGGAACCTTTCTAGAAATGCATTCTCAGGCCCCTCCCAGACCCCCTGAATAAGGAGGTGTCTTTTGCAAGCCCCCAGGCGATCCACGTGCACGCTCAGGTTCATGAGGCGCTGCTCTAAGACCGCACTATCCACCACCTCCTTTCCCCGCCACTTGACTGATATGTTCCAGATGGTGGCGTCTCCTTTAGCCTCAGCCCCTGGCCTGACCTGAGATGACAAAAAGTGGAGCACGAGAGAATTAGATCTTTGTTCTAAGCCATTAAGACTTGAAAGCTGCTATCCTGGTACAACCTAGCCCATTCTAACTGACGCCATCACTTAGTACTCAGCGTCCCCGGGTAAGTGACTTAATCTCCCTGTGCCTCAGTTTCCCTGATGGAAAACGGAGATGGTGACAGCACTGACTCATAGGGTTGTTACAAGGATTAACGAGGTAAAATATGAATAGAGCCTGGCACACAATAAGCCCCATGTCAATATGAGCTTCTTTTAGTGACACCCCCCCTCCCCACAGCTCAAATCCTGCCTGGGGATGTGCAATTCCAGGCTCCTTACCGCAGTGACTGTAGCGTCAGAACCTTTGTCCCTGGCAACCCCTCACCCCACACCACACTGTCCCCAGGCGTCACACAGCAGAAAGAGAATGAAAATTGATTCCTCTCAGAAAGAGGCAGGGATCTTAATTACGACGACGTGGCCCGAGCTTCCCTCGCCAGCGTCTTCACATCGCCGTCCTCCCTGCGCTGTATGCAGAGCACGCTGCCCCACCCTCTTACGTACCTCCCCACACCCAACGTGTCTTTCAGGGCACAGCTGGTGTCCCTCCTGCCCACGAACTCTCCCTCAAATACTTCGTTACGACGCAGTTTAGAATTTAGACATAAAATCTGTCTGTCATATATTAAGAGTCTGTGGTGAGGTCCACGCTCGGTAAAAAAAAAAAAACCCAAAATACCTAATAAATGTTTATTTTTTGTCTTTTCTTCAAACACAGTGTATGTGATTATAGCACCAAAGGGTTAGCAAACCTGATGCAGAGAAAACTGGGGAAGGCAGTGAGGGGATGGGAGGGAGACGCTTTCTGTTGAAGTCCTGGTTTTTCAAAGAGTCCAATCGATTTTTGACATTATAGTAACTATTCTTAAAGACGATAAGTATTTATAACATTTTTAATATGATGATCACAAATAAAATGTATTGTTTATTCTACACTCAAATAAAATGATGTTATTTTTTCTCCTTGCCACTCTCTCAAAATGTACATAAGGAAACAAAATATTCTAAGCCAGAATAATTATCTCATTGTCTTGGATCTCTCCTTCATATTTATGAACTGACTTAAAAAAAAAAAATCGTGGTACTGAAGCAATTCGCCACAACTGCACAATGAGCCACAATATTCAGATTCAAAGTCACAGAGCTGGAAGAACAAGCAGCCTGGAGACCCAAGCGCAACACCTTATACTCTCTAGACCGGGGGCAGCACACGTCCTCTTAAAGGCCAGACACTAAATACCTGAGGCTTTGCAGGCGACAGGGCCCAGCCACAACTCAGCTCTGCCACTGCGGCACCAGCAGCCGTGGGCAACACGGACACATGGGCACAGCCGTGTGCCAACCAAATACCGTACAGATGCCGAACTTTGAATTTCATATCACACCCGTGGGTCACTAAATTTTCCTTTTGATTTTTTTCAACCATTTAAAAATGGAAAACCATTTTTAACTTGTGAGTGATACCGAAACAGGCAGCAGGCTGGGTTTGGCCCGTGACTGACTCCTGCTCTGACGCCCAAGTTTATGCTTCTTTAACCACACCACAAAGTCTCCCTAACAGTCATGGATACATGGTGAGGAGCTGCATATTCACTCAAAAATTAGGTGAGAAATAATCCCATGAGCCTGTTTTTATTAGCTCAACTTGAAAAAACATACGATCCTAAAGATATCAAACTTTCACCAGAACTTATGCCAGTCTGACCCATAAAAATAACGTCCCCCATCACCCTTTTCCTCACCACGCACCATTAACAATTCACGGAGTAAGAAAATAGCTGGCAGTTGTCTTCAGAGATGAAGTCAATGCAGTCTCATTCCTTTGCCAAAACGCAGGGAAACCAGTTCTTGGTGCCTCTTCTCTGGGGGCCATTCAAGGCCAGCCGATGCAGAAAGACGGGGAAGGACACGCTTTGGCTTCAACATGGATTTGTGTGTGTGTATGTGTCAGGAAGATTGGCCCTGAGCTAACATCTGTTGCCAATCTTCCTCTTTCTGTTTGAGGAAGATTGTTGCTGAGCTAACATCTGTGCCAATCTTCCTCTATTTTGTATCAATATGGATTTTTAACCAGGAACCTCACTACTTTAAAAACCTTTTTAATATTTTTTTTTTTAAAAAGAGCCTTGGCTTTTGCTATTTTTACTGACACACATTTTGAAAGTAGCAGTGCTTAAAACATTTTAAGTCTAGATATCTCTATGGAAACCCAAAAGAACTTACATTTTATGGCCAAATGACTACTGAGAGTCATACATCCTACTGGATCACTACAGGCCATGTGTGATGCCAGAAACATCTGAGACCTATTTTTCCAAAACTCCATCTTCTCAGATAGAATTAAATTGATATAATCATTAGTTTTGCTGAGGAAGAGATCATGAAAAAACTTATTTCCGAGGCTTTCTTTTAATATTTATTAAGATATTCCTATTTAAAATCATCTTATTAGGGAAAGAAATTTGTAAATTTTGGCAGACATAATAAAAGGGGAAGAATGCAATCAAATAATTTAAGAGTTGCTTTGAAATTTATGTCATTAGTTTTCTTCCCCTCCTTTCCATCAATGTCAAATACATCTTCTCTTAAAAATGTAACGGTTCCTCTCCCCAGACTTCTTACTCGTTGCAATGGAGAAAAATATAACAATTATATAATGCAGAAATCAGGTAACACCTTGAACAGGTGACCAAAATTAACATCACTAGTAAGGGACAGATGGCCTTTGGAACACTTCCAGATGTGACACTCTAAGAAGAACATAACTTCACCTAGAATACACAACCTGAATTTAACCACAAGAAAACACCAGCATAAGAAAAAGGAAGGCAGGAGGGGCAGGAGGACTGTATTATTTTTAAAAATGTCAATGTCATAAAAGACAAATAAAGGCTGTAGAAATGTTCTAGATTAAAAGAAGATATCCAACAACTAAATGCAATACCTGGCCCCAGAATGGGTCCAGTATTGCTGGAGAGGGAAGAAAATTCTCTAAATGACACTATGGGGTCAACTGACAAAATGGGAATACAAATGGCACATGAGACAAAAGTATTATGTCAACGTTACAGTTATTGAAGTCGATAACTGTATTGCGATTATATAAAAGAATATCCTATGCCTGGGAAATACTAAAACATTTCAGGGTAAAGAGCCATGATGTATGATGTATGTAGTTTTCCAACAAATGGTTCGGAAAATAATTATATATGTGTGTGTGTACATATATAAATACATATAGAGAGAGAGAGAGAGAGACAGAGAGACAGAGAGAGAGAGAAGGAGAGAAAGGATAATAAAGAGAGAGCAAATGATAAAGCTAAAGGCATAAAATGTTAATAATAGGTTCAAAGAATAAGGGATATATGGGTATTTTTGCAACTTCTCTGTAAGTCTGGAATTATTTCCAAATAGAGAGTTTAAAGAAAAACTAACAGTTCTTGCCTACATTGAAGTTCTTGGCTATCTATTTTCTCTCTATGATATTCCAAATACAACACAGGAAGAGATATTTGTGCCAAGGAACAAGAAAGTGCAAAGATATTTTAACATGATTTTTTATCAGTGATTGAAGCCTGCCAAAACATTACATACCACCCATTCCCAGCAGAGTTCGCTGCAAAAACCAGCAAACACTGGATACGCTAGCATCTTAGATACAACTACTAATTTCTCTAAACAGGGCTGTGATTCTAAAATCTTTTTGCATCTCACAACTTATAGAACTATCTCATATACAAAATAAGTCTCTCAGCTGGTCTCTTAGCCAATACCAGTATCAATCAACTGGATTAAATCTCTTGAGCGGAAGCATCTTAATATTTTAAGCCTTGTCTAAGTAGCTGGAGAATACGGTCCTCAGGAAGCAGGACCACTTCGTCACATGTCCACCACTCCTCCTCGCCACTTTGAAACCACTGTCAGAATCCCACAGCCTTAATGTCTACGACCCCACATGGTTGTGTGTCGGCACTGGGGGTGCTCACCTCCAGTCTGCAGCACTCTGTCTGCACTGATGTTTCCCCAAAGCAATGGAGGGAACTACAACTAAGACCAAAAACGGAGGAGAGACTTTCTATAAGTCAGTCACTGGAGAGGGAATCAAAAATGTAACCAAAATTAAAATTTTCAGCCATGCTTTGGAATTACCCATTCTCCAAAACATAGGACAGACAGAACATATGCATATTAGTAAGTCTTTTCTATCCTTCTCTGTTTATAGTTTTATTACTTTCTTGATCCTTTAAGTAGTGACTGTTGCTGGGTTAAAACACACATAAACAATTTTTGGCTTTGCCTTTTTATCTTAGATATTCTCCTTATTATTCATTTTCCCCCAAATTTCAATCAATAATTTTACTTAACAAATGTTTACCAAGAACCTATGTGGCATACTGAGTGGTGCTCTCCAGAGGATCAAGATTCCAGGTTTCCTGTCTACAAATCATCCCTGAGAGAACCATCTGAGGACAAGAAGTGTAGCAAAGTCTGCTGCAGAGAAGCAGAAGGAGCCAGAAATGAACTAGGACCAACTGCGAGAAGGAACAAACAAGTCAAAGCACTAAAACTGAAGGAGAAGATAATTTTTAAAGAAGAAATTGAAGAGAAGGTACATGTAACATTATTACAGATTTAAAATCTTACATAGTCCTCTCCATAAAACTTCTCAAATGCAGTTAAAAACACACACGTACAAAAACCCAGCAATTACAAATCCTCTGAAGCATGTAACTGTGATTAGCTGCTGCTCTCAGCAATATAAAAATACTTTCACCACAATTGCATTCCAGCCTGTAATGTAACTCAAAACAAACAAGTCAGAGACATCGCTCAAATCGCAGAACCAACAACTACAGATGCTTTGCATCAAGGAAATGAATCCACTGCAGAAATGCAACGGAGGAGCTGCCCTGCCGGGCCTGGAGCTGGGCTTCTGGTGGAACGGCGAGGCCCCCTCCTGGGCAGACGTGGTGCATGGCGGGTCCGCAAAGCTGCACTCGCCTCAGAGCCAACCCTTCCGCAGGCAGGAAGCGGGAATGTCTGCGACTCTCTGCTGTGGGTACCTCTCCGGGGCTGCATTCACATTTTTAAATTTTAGATTTTAAATTCTAAATCTGGATTCTTATAAAAAGAAATGACCGTATTTGATTTCAGATTAAATTAACCATTCTATTTAATTCTGCAACCAGCATTCCTACCACCAAATGGCACGCCTACCCCCTTTGCCCTGTTCTTTCTCATTTTGCCATAATTCTTATCACCATTTGACATCCTGTGTAACCCACTCTGGTTATTAGTGGCCTCCCTGCTAGAACAGAAGCTCCACGAGGGCAGGACTCTTTGTTTCATTCACTGATTCAATAACAAGCAGAGCCTGGCACAGTATACTCACTAACACAGAAGGAATTGTCCCATTTATGCTTTTATCTTTTATTTTCAAGACTATCCATCTTCAAAGAAGGAAGTATAAATTTTATTATAAAAATATGCTGTAATTTAAAAATGACACGCACTTGTTCTAAAAGTATGCATTTTCTCTAAATGCTTCATAAAAGCAAAAAGTCTGATCTAAGAACCATATAATCATGGTCTGTATGTATATAATTCATATACAATTTCCAAGGAAGTCATACGCCGCCAACGCCCTGGAGAACACAGTGGCTGCAAAGAATGAAGAATTCGATTCTGAAACGCCAGGCCTGGAGCAGGTGTCTGTCGCGTGCCACACTCCAGTCCCGACGCATCCCGGGCAACTGGGTCTGAGTGCACCTCTTCTGAAAGTCAGCACTTTCCTGGACTGGGCATAGTGGTTTTGGCAGGAAGTGCATGCACAGCTTCCTAATTTCTAAAACCTCAATCTTTAATTTTTTTCCCTTTTTATCTTTTCCTTAAAGATTGGCACCTGAGCTAACATCTGTTGCCAATCTTTTTTTTCTTTTTCTTTTTTTCTTCTTCTTCTTGTCCCCAAAGCCCCCTGGGACATAGTTGTATATTCTAGTTGTGAGTGCCTCTGGCTGTGACATGTGGGACACCGCCTCATATGGCCTGATGAGCGGTGCCATGTCCACGCCCAGGATCCAAACTGGGAAACCCCGGGCCACTGAAGCAAAGCAAGTGAATTTAATCACTTGGCCACAGGGCCGGCCCCAAATTTTTCCCCTTCTTAAAATGTTTTCAGCTTGTGGAAAAGCTAATAGTTGTTTAAAATTGTCAGACTTTTTAAAAAGTGCTAATTTGTTCCCTTAACAGAGCAAATGATGAGAGACCATCTTCCCGCCGGTTAAGGACAATATAGAAACATATGATTCAATGATGTCAACAGCTTTCAGTCCAAGAATTTCATCCAGAGGCATTAGTCTTTCATTAGAACAAGTTCAGGATTTCTGACATTCTTTTTTCCGAACCTTTGATTTTGGTGCTGTGAAAAGAACAGAAAAGAAAAAGAGAAATGAAGAGGTAAGCCCAAGTCAGACTTTCTACTGACTTGTTTTAAGTGAGAAGTGTTACATACAGTAGGGGAAACTGACCATTTGGATTTTCCTGTTTGTAGAAGGTCTTTAACATCTCCACTGCTTCCTCGGCCCGATACCCAGGAACACACTGATGAAATGAGAGAGTTGAGAATGAACACAGGCCTATGAAAGTGTGTGTTGTATCCCATAAAAACAGCAACACATACATAATTAGCAAACATACTTCAGATAGTATTAATACTTTGTGCATATTAGCAACACGGGTAAGGAAGTATATTGCCAAAAGAAAATATAAGGCCTCGATCAGACATCACTCTCAATCAACTAATTATTTCTCAATCAACTACCATTGAAGTTACTAGCTATGTGATTTTGGGTAAGATAAACTCTCTATGCCTCAGTTTCCTCATTTGTAAAATGCAGGTAATTACAGCAAGTGAGACAGAAGGATTTTGTGAGGACTGAACGAGATTTAGTATAGTAACATCTGTTCAGTACCTGACATATCCTCAGTGCTCACGAGCCACCAGCTCTTTTTATCAGCTGTTATTTTCTGGTGGCCCAATAAGCATCTGATCCTACAGAGCTGGGGTTGGCAGTCCACAGCTACAAATGGTCAGCTAAGAATGGTTTTCATATTTCTAAAGGATTGTTAAAAAACAAAAAGAAGAAGAATATGCAACAGAGACATGAATCGCTCACAAAGGCTAAAACATTTACCATCAGGCTCTTCACACAAAAAATTTGTCGACTTTTATTATAGAGGATTTTTTTAAGTGTTTAGTTTGTTCTATCTTTGGTATCTAACTGGAGAGAAGAGATCAACATGTGAAATAATAAGAAATTGTAATAACAGTAAGGAGACGAAACTTGAACTTGCCTTAATGATAGAGAATATGTAAAGAGACTGAGCAGAGCATTTCAGGGAACGAGGAAGAATAAGCTTGGGCTGTGTGTAAGGTTGGGGGTGGGTGATTATTAAGGGAGCATAAGGAAAGAAATCAAAGAGATAAAACGAGGTTGAAATATATAGGGCTCTAAGGCAGTTACAGGAGTGTGGACGTGACAAACTGCAGCCTTCTGAGGTGCACGACATGATGCAATGAACAGAGATTCCAGGGAGGAGCGCCTGGAAGCAGGGCACAGTGGAGGAAGGAACACTGAGCACCAGCACAGGGGCCTAGTGAACCAACCACTCTGGGCCACTGCTCAGAATGACTCTCCCTTTCTCTTGTGCCTTCAATCGGTTCTTGCCGAGGCCTACAAAGCCTGCACAAACTTCCCCCATCAAAACAAAGAAGCTTCTACGCGTTCGATGTTTTTAGGTTCCACATATAAGTGAGATCAGACATTATTTGTCTTTCTGTCTGACTTATTACACTTGGCATAATGCCCTTGAGACCCATCCATGTTGTCACAAATGCCAGGATTTCCTTCTTTTCTACGGCTGAATAATATTCCACTGTGTGTGCACATATCATATTTTCTTCATAGAAGCAGAGAGAAGAATGGTGGCTGCCAAGAGTGGAGGGGTGAGGGAAACGGGGAGACACCGGCCAAAGGGTACAAACTTCCAGTTACAGGAGGAGGAATAAGTTCCAGGGATCTAAGGTACTGGCATGCTGACTACAGTTAACAATGCTGTATTATATCCTTAAAAGTTGCTATGAGAGGAGAGCTTAAATATTCTCACCACCACCACCACCATGACACAGTGGTAATTGCGTGAGGTGAAGGGTGAGTTAACTGACCTCACTATGGTAGACATTTCACAATACATGCGGGTATCAAATCATCACACTGTGCAACTTAAAATTACACCACATTACATGTCAACTATATCTCAATGAAGCTGAAAAACAAAACAAAACAGTAACCTTCCTTCTTCCCTGCCCCAAGGCAAGCTGCTCCCTGTTCCTCCCTGAGAACACTTCAGAATCATGGCCATCACTTTTGCTACTCTCATTCCCTCCTCAACCTCATCCTCACTGGCTTGTGCTCCCCAGGACTCCACGGAAGCTGCCCTCTCAGACGTGCCAAGGGCCCCTACTGACCAAAATACTGGTCTCTCCAACCTCCTCAGCTCTCTGCAGTCGCCGAGACCACTGACCACATTTGCTTCCTTGAGAACCCTTTCCTCCCTTGGCTTCTGAACCCTTCATCATTCTAAGCATGACTGGCCCTTCCCCTTCTCTTCCTGGCTGTTTGAGTTCCTGGTCCCCAGGGCTCCCACCTCTCCTCTTGCTCTCACAAGCACCCACATGCACAAAGTGTTTTCGTCTCACGTGAAGTTAGAGCCATGGTTCTCAACCTTGGCTGCTCAGCAGAATCGTTTGGGAGCTCTCTAGAAAAATACCAATGTTCTCGTCCCATGTAGTCCCTTCTCCCCTCTGCCCCCCAGCAGCCTTCTGATTCAGGTGGTCGAAGCTGGAGACTGAGCACAGGCATTTGTAAAGCTCTCCAGGTGATTCTGATATGCAGTCAGGGATGAAAACCAGTGAGTTATAGGTGAAGAGAGAAACTGCATCTAAGATACCAAGATAATCTTCTCAAGTATTCATTATAGCTACAAATTTGTGGTTTTAATAAAAAGAACACATTCTTATTAGAATAAATGTTTAAAAACACAACAGGTAAGTATTATATATTAATCACCATCTTCTTTGAAAAGAATAGCTCTGTAGGTCTGCTCTGTAAACTTTAATGCTGCTTATAATATAGTATTAAAAGAATCTATAATTCTGCAATACAAAAACAGCATCCCACATCCCACAAACCCCCCACCCTGCCCAGCCAAATAAAGGAAGAAAACAGCATCCAGAAGCCTGGGGTATCAATGTTTTCTTCATAACCTCAAAACACTTAAAAAAACAAAACTAATTTGGCATCAAATCTGGAGATACAGCGTCGAACCATGGCCATCCATTTCAATGGAGCCAATCTGGCCAGATATATACACTGCAAATGAACTTATAATTGGGTTCAGCCAGATTAACTCTGCTGTGTTTGTGCACACAATGTCAGACAGGCTGGACAGAAATGTTCCACCTATGTCTGTAGCCCAGGGATCATCTTTGTTCTGCCCAGAAGCTTTGAGAAATTCTTTAGATCTTTCTAATTAAGGAAGTACAGGGTCAACAATTCACTTGCAAAGAGTTATGTAAGCAAAATTTAAGCCACTAATAGAAGTCATGGGAAAAATCAAATCACTTTGCAGATTTTTTTAATGATCAAGATAAGTGTATTTTTTACTTTCCATCACTCTATTACAATTTCCTTTCAGAGGGGATGTTAAAAGTCATCTATTCTCAAATGTATAGGAGCTGTTAGGAAAGCTAATGTTCGGCTGGGAAAACTCAAAATAGAATGTTTTCCAAAACTTGTTCTCAGTGGGATTCAGCCAAATTTAGCCCTTCATAGGTACTTAATATTCTCCTAAGAATATCTGAGGTCTTCCAAGTTAACTGCCCACCACGTTCAGCATTTGTTAAATCTTTTTCTTTTTTTTTTTTAAGATTTTATTTTTCCTTTTTCTCCCCAAAGCTCCCTAGTACCTAGTTGTGTATTTTTAGTTGTGGGCCCTTCTAGTTGTGGCATGTGGGACGCCGCCTCAGCGTGGCCTGATGAGCGGTGCCATGTCTGCACCCAGGATTTGAACCAGAAATGCCCTGGACCACCAAAGCAGAGTGCACAAACTTAACCACTCCACCACAGGGCCGGTCCCAATCGTTTTCTTTTTAAAGCATAATACTTTTAGGATTAACCTTACATCTTGAAGAAAAAAACAATTAAACTGGTTCATGAAAACTGGGATGCATCTACTGGCCAAACTCTGAAATATAAACTCCCACTGCTCACAGCCTTAAACATAGAAACTTTGGAAGAAGTGGCAAGATGAAAGGGAATGTAGAATTTCTAAGAGAACATGAAAGAAATGTGGATTCTTGGGTCTGGGGAAAATTTCAACATTAAAAAGGCAGGGGAAAAAATAATGAAAATACGGGTATTGACTGCTAGACACGAAAAATAGTACACGGCAATCAAGCAAAACGATTGAATGTGTGCAAAATATTGTGCGTTCACCAGAAAAGGCATCTACTGTCACTGACAGAAGCCAAGCTTCACACAAAATTGGGAGAACACGGAGTGGGGGACTCTCATTGGGAAACACCAAGAGCAGTGTGTCTTCAAACATGCCTGAAGGCGTGGGTGAAGACTGTCAGAAGACACCTTGGAAGGCTGGGGACTCTCCTTCAGGACAGCTTCCATTGACTAAGAGAGCTAGGCACTCACCTGGAAATGATTACCTGTCATCTTATACTGCAGCATAAATGAACTTGACCAGAGGTTACAAGAGTCTGCCCGGTTCTAGCACGGCTTTTTGGTGTACTGAGCACGTGCTAACTATTGCCCAGACCGTAACGAGATCAAAGTACTTAGAAGGAAAGAAAAAGCATAAGCTGGTCATATTACCTGAAACGGTCTCCCAGTATTCGGTAAGTCAGCAGAGGCAATGTTTAGAACAGAGCCACAACCACCAAATCGTTCATTCTGACAGCCATATACAACCAGTGGAATTTATAAGAAAGAATTAAGGTCCTGCAGAGAATGTGCTGTTCAAGGGTGTATCGTGACAAAACCAGGGCAAGTTCATACCAGTCGTCCTGGAGAAAAAAACTCATGCTACACTTAAAAATAATGAAGCTTTGGCTTAGTCCTAAAAATCGTACAATCCAGTTACACAAAAGAAGGAAGTTTAAAAGATTTGGAAATTAACATCTCAAAATTGCAAAAAAAAATGAAAACTGCATATATGCTTGGTAAATGTTCATCATTTGGTGTTCACTCTGGTCTTTCCTAAGTCACTTTTTCAGAATCATTAGAGAACTGGAGCCAGAAAAAAGGCAGGAATTTAATCCAGGGATTTTCTTTTCAACATCACCGATTGTCCCCTGTTCTTTCCCCAAATAAAATATAACCTGTGCCTCAATACAAAACACACTAAAGCTGAGCCACTCTGTAAAGCAGGACGGGAGAAATAGCCATAACACCCGTCTTTAAAAAGCAGCATGTGTACATGTTATCATACTCAAAACCTCTGCCTTATTTTTAAAGTGATAAAACTATTCACACATACAAAGAAAAGTACACAAAATATGCAAGCACGAAACTGCGTTTTTGAATTATCAAACAATTTTTTAAAAGACCAACTTGCTGCAATGAGTGGCTTACTCTGAAAGACACAATTCAGAGCTGTAACTTTGTCAATTTCCCATTGATTTACAATTATCATAAATGACTTGGTTTTTACTTTGTATTTACTCCTAATTTAAAACTTTTCCTACATTATAATAGATGTTCATAGCAAAAATAAACAAAAACATATAAACAGAGAAACAAAATTTTTAGGTCACCTATAATCTGACATCCAAAGGCAAAACTGGGGTGCCTATTCTTCAGATCTTTTCCTAGGCACACTGTTTTATAATCTAACTTACGATTTTTCTTTAAAGAACTGTTTAACGTAGTTCTAAGCTTTTCTTTCTCTAGCTTATTTAATAGCTATATGTTTACTGAATAAAAACAAAGAGGTAATTTAATTACTTAAAAGTCCTTCCCCAAAATTTTTTTGGCCACGGGATACTATATTGTATCATGTGGCCCTCCTGAAATTTGTTTCATAAATCTGTTTTCACGTGTTGGAAACAGACTCCGGTTTCGCGGGAAGGGGCGGGGATGCTGCCCCCGGAGCCAAGGATACTCATGAGGCGGAGCGCGGCCGCGCACATGACGCACGGCTCCACGGTGACGTACAGCACGGCGCGCTCGAAGACCTCGGCCGGACACCTGCCGCGCCCGCGACACCAGGCCAGGGCCTGGTCGATGGCCACCATCTCCGCGTGGCGCGTAGCCTGAAAAGAGAGAAGTGCCTGCGCTGACACTGTTTGCTACGTGTAACTGCATCTTACAAAGATTCAAAAGTAAATACGAAAATACGTTTTTCATGGACCTGTAGTTCCTGCCAACATTTTAAGGAACAAAGCTTTAAGACACCCTTAGCAATTGACAAGCTATTTCCCAGTTCAAGTACCATGAACTCACCAATAAAAGACACCTAATCTGAGATGCGGGATGAATTATGCCATATTTTTAGTTAAGTAACTAAGTGCCTTAGGGGATGTTCTCTCAATTAAAATGCCGTAGAGAAGCTGTGTCTTGGGAAAAAAAGATGAGCCTAGGTTTCTGAATATTTTAAGGGAAGCTTAAAATTTTCATAAGCTTGTGCTCCAGTTTCAAATGTGTTTTCAAGGCTGTCACTGACCTCGCTCTAAGCAAATCTATATTTAGTTTACTGGAATGTCATCACTTACACTCTCTTTGGGATGAGATTTTATATACTGGCAGACTCTAGAGAAAAGCAGAGATTTGCTATCAGCCTCAGATACCTCACAAGAGGCAGCAGCAGAAAGGAAAGAAATCACACAGCATTTGGAATCAACTACTTACATTTGAATCCTGACTATGACATTCCTAATTATGTGGCCTTGGGCAAGTCACATAACTTCTCCAAGCTGTGATTTCCCCATATATAAAATGGGATTCACTGGTATCTACATCTCAAAGCAATCTGAATTACATGAAGCACCGTGCCACATAATGCTCTGTATGTACTCTGCTATGCACTAATCGTTTATAACATTCATGATGAGCACACTCATCAACAAACTTACGCTGGGTGCTAACTGTATACAAGCCACTGCACTAAATTCTGTGTGAGATAAAAAGCCTCTGTCCTCAACAAGCGTCAAATCTGGTGGGGCAAACAGAAAGGTGTTCCTTTACCGTGACCCAGGGCAGGGTGCTGGCAGTGCAGCTCAAGGCACCATGGAAGCCAGAGGCAGGTGGGGGCGATGCCAGCCAAAAACTATAAACTCAGAGCTGGAAGGTCCTTTAGGGAAGAGGTTCCCAACCCTGGCTTTATCCCAGAACCAACTGGGAGCTTAAAGAAAAAACGTTTCCCCAACTTGAGTATTTTTAAAAATCAGATTCAGAACCCCTGAAAAAAGTCTCCCCCTAGTTCTCAATAAATAGTTGTTGAAGTGAATCACCTCGATCAACTTCCTCTTTTACCACTGAAGAACCAGAGCTCAGTTAGGACATATGAAAGATACACAGCTGGGCGAGGTGATGGTGGTGGTGACAGGCAGGTGAGGGTGGTTACAGAGCCAAAAGGAGGACTCGGGGCTCCTCATTTGGAGTCAAGAGTCTTTCCATACCATGTTTATGGGGTAATCTGCTATAGGACACAGAATACCAAAATCAATCCAGGTTAGTTTCAAGGTATAAAAGAAACCCAGGTTCTTGGGGGTTAGATGGATGTTATTAGGACAAAGATCTCCTGTTAAAGATACTGTACTGAATCACAAAATACAAATAGGAGATATGATAATTATTTCAAACACAGAATTCCACTCCCAAATAAGTATCTGTATATTCACCAATTGCTGTGTTATGTTGATTACTTATCTCACAAGTAATTTGGTAGCCACATAATTGCTTTGTGAATCTGGGTTCCTACTTTGCATGTGTTTCCCTAAATCTCAGTTTTCTTTTCAATAGATGTGATGGATGAACTTTTAAGTCCACGTAGCACGAGGACCAACACCAGTTTGTTCTCTGGCTCCAAGATCACATGATGAGATCAGAGTCTGTGTGAGTCATGTTACGCTTATAAGCTATCCCTAAGCCCACCTAGTACTTCTGATAATCCTAACACTTGATACTCCATTTATACTTACTGGGACACACTGTTGTGATACTGTGTTTAAGAAGTGATCCGTTAATTCTCCAACTTCTCAACCTAACCGCAATAAATTAAACGTCACACAGGCTCCCAAAGTGCACCTACTCCATGGAGGCCCAGAGGCAGCAGGAGGTGGGGCTTTTATTTCACTGAATTATCTGGTACAGGAATAGTTTCCTTTATACAATCCTTTTATATCTCCACAGTTATAAATTGAGGGTGATTTTTTAATTTACTAGGAGGAACACGTTATTTAAAGGTACCAAAGAATGCAATACAAGTTAAATTGATGTGTCTTATAAAGTGGAATTTTCATATATGAGATTTCCTTAAAACGGGAATAGACTCATTTCTTCTGCACTGACACTCCAATCTAAGAAAACCCCCTCTTGGGTTTCCCTCAAGTGTTAAAGTGAAACTCCATGAAATAGAAAATTAGCCCTGAAGATTTTATTGCTTCATTAAATTTTTATGAATTTTCCAAATTTAAAAAAAAAACGTTATCACTTTTATAACCAGAAAAGAAGGCATTCAAAAAGAGACGTTTAGGGAGACTGCCTCTCCACTGATGCCTACGGGACTGAACACAGACCTGTCTTCCGCGACAAAGTCTCTCCAAGCCCACCATCACTGCCAGTGTTGGCGGTTATACTACTGAACTCACATACATTTTTGGTCTGATTAACTTCATTTCTTCCCTTCCCCACAACTTCATTGTTGTAGACCATAAGGCAGCCAACAGGAACTTCAATATTTTCTAGGGCTTCTTTGGCCTGAAAGACAAAGTAGAAAATCAAAGACGTAATGTTCAATCCTTGAAAAGACTACATAAGAAAGAAATAGACACAGCATGAGCAGTATACACATATATAAACACTAGAACAAAGAAATGCAGCTGAGCTTTCCCTTTTCTCGGAGAGAATTCCGAAGTTAGTGCCGTGTCCTCTGCTGTGTTGATATTAAGGGAGACTCAGGAATAAACACCCTTTGGTAGATCCTGAGCTCCCTGATTTCTGCTTCATCGGAAGCAGAGGTGATCAAAACACTGTTACTGACTCTCTTTTTCTTTCATCCCCAAAGCCCTAGTGCACACTTGTATATTCTGCTTCTAAGTTCTTCTGGTTCTTCTATGTGAGCTGCCACCACAGCATGGCTACTGACAGATGAGCGGTGTGGTTCCGCGCCCAGGAAAAGAACCCAGTCTGCTGAAGCAGAATGAGCCGAACTTTAACCTCTAGGCCATCAGGGCTGGCTCAAGTGACTCTTGTTTTTAAATTGTCAGGGTCTACGGACTTTTTCAGAGAGAGTATATATTTGCAAAGAGGTAGAAGAATAACTAACATTTATAAGTCCTTTATTAAAATTCTTTCCTTGTTGAAATTCTACTTAATTTTTTTTGTTTCTCTAAAAATGATAGGAAATATCCTCCAGAGTTCCAACAGCATAAAGGTGACCAGACCAGATGTCTCCCTGAGCCCACAATTTCTGCTCTAAGTGAGATAATACAGGTTTAGGAACACTCTGTATAAAAATGGCACCATCCCAGTGAAGAACATTCTGGAAGTTTCTTTAAAAAGTAAAGATACACATAGCCTATGAATAAATTCCCCTCCTAAGTATTTATTTAAAAGCGGAGAATATATGTCCATGTAAAAAATCTTGAAAAAGAATGTTCATAATAGCTTGATTCATAATAGTGAAAATCTGGAAACAGCACAGGTGTCCATCAACAAAAGAATGCATAAACAAACTGTGGCATCTTCACACAGTGGAATACAACTCAGCAATAAAAAGAACAAAATACTGATACACACACGACATGGAAGAACCTCAGACAGGCTGAGTAAACAAAGTCACATACTGTATGACTCTTCACGAGAAGTCCCAGAAGAGACAAAACTAAACTACAATGATAGAAGCTGGAACAGTGGTTGCTTCATGGAAGGGGATGTGTAGACTGACTGGAAAGGGAATAAGGAAATTTTCTGGGGTGGTGAAAACTTTATCCTGAAAAGGGTGCTGCTTACACAGATGTTTGCATCATTCGAAACTGAATGAACGTTACATTCAAGACCTGTGCATGTTGCTGTGTGGAAAGTACACCTCAACTGGAAAATATACATGAGAAAAATAAGTTTAGGAACACTTCCACCACCACCATCCTGGGAATGGCAAACCAGTTACTATATTTGCAAAGTTTCCCCTCTATCACCAGCCGTCCATTTTTCATCCAGCCCTATGGCTGAGTGAACTCCAGCACCTGGGGGGCCCAGGATGGTTAAAGAACACTCCTTCAGGCAGAGAGCAAAGTTTACATCTGGGTACTCCACGATCCTGCTGTTGAGAGAGAGTAAAGGATGGACGCAGCCCTTGGACTAGTACAGAAGCATTTCTATCTCACTGCAGTCCAAGTACAGCTGTTTGTAGAGAGACACGGCATTTATTTTGGAAAGCCCAATGACACTCTGGAAGACTATGTTCCCATTTACTGTAGGTATTGACACACACCGTAGGGCATAGAGAGTGTAAAGTTGAAGGCATTATATTCAGAAAGTCATAAACAGAGAGAAAGCAGGGTGTTCCATCTCCCGCACTAGCCTCTTACTCCCGGCAACACTGTATTTATAGCCGCAATAACCTCCTACTACCACAATACTAACACGGGTTCCTTAGCTACCTGAACCATGCTCAACTGACACTGAACGTCTCACGGAGCCAAGAGAGGTGAATGGAGAAGCACATAGTGGTAGCGAATTGGACCTCTCCTTTCTCCTCCAGGGTAGCGGGACGGAGCTGGGCAGGAGAGACATGAGGAGACGCTATCTGAAGCAATAAGGCTGTATTCTTCAGGACCATGTCATGAATATCCAGAGGCAAGCTCTGTCCAGTTCTGTAAAAGTGGTTAAAGTGTGCCCCGTCTAGGCAAAGTTGAAAAGTCTGAAGACATCCAATTGGTGAATATATACAAATAAATACACAAATGCACCACAGGCTACTATGGAAAAGAAAGCCAGGAGGACTGACAGCTAGGGAGGATGGAGATGCTAAGTACCAGTGCTGTTAAGGCACTCATCACACTAAGAAGGTTATTTAAAACAGGCTTAGGATTATATACAACCCCAGGTACACAGGAGAGAGAAATCATTTATTCATCCAACAAATATCTGTCGAGGATCGAGATAGGGGAATTACCCTAGCTTATTCAGGTCTCCCTAAATGCAATCACAATTGTCCTTATAAGAGAGAGGCAAAGGGAGAGTTGTGAAGATGCCACATTGTTGGCTTTGAAGATGAGGAAGGGGCCATGAGCCAAGTATGGCACCTTGCTCTAGAGGGAAAGGCAAGGAGGCGCAGCCTGCCCCACAGCCTCCAGAGGGCGCAGACCAGCTGATGCGCTTCCAGCCACGTGGGCTGACTGCAGACTCCTAGCTCCAGAACCAGAAGAGAATAAATCTGTATTGTTTTAAGCCACCAAGTTCATGCTAATTTCTTACAGAAGCCATAGGAAATTAATACACCCTGTAAAGAGGAAGAAAACACAAGCTACAACTGGAAGAACATATTTGCAAACCACAGATCCAACAAAGGTATCTGGACTATATAAAGAACTCTCAAAGCTCAACAGTAAAACAGTAAAAAACCCAAACAATCCCATGAGAAAATGGGCAAGAGTCATTTCACCAAAGAGGACATACGGATGGCAAATAAGTACAAGAAAAGATACTCACATCATTAACCATTAGGGAAATGCAAATTAAAACCATAATGCGTTATCTCTGCGGACCTATCACAACAGCTAAAACAGAAATAAAAACATCAGATGCTGGTGAGGCTGAGGGGAAAGAGGATCACGCATATACTGCTGGTGGGAATGTAAAATGGTACACCACTCTGGAAAACAGTTTGGCAGTTTCTTAAAAAGCTAAATATGCAGTTAACATATGACCCAGCATTTGTACTCTTGGGCATTTACCAGGGAAATGAAAACTTATGCTCACACAATACCTAAGTTCATACACAGACACAAATGTTCACAGGAGTTTTACTCCTATTAGCCCAAAACTGGAAATGACCCAACTGTCCTTCAACAGCTGAATGGTTAAAGAAATTGCAAGATCCATATCATGGAAAACTACACAGCAGCAAGGAGGAATGAACTACTGATCGACTCAAGCACTGGAATGGATCTCCAGGGAATTATGTTGAATGAAAAAAATCGCAAAAGGTTACATATTCATGGATGTAACATTGCTGAATGACAAAATTACAGGTATGGAGAACAGACGACTGGCTGCCAGGGTTTAGGGTTTGACGGGAGATAGCGACTATAAAGGGGTAGCATGAGAGAGCCTGTGGTGATGCAGCAGTTCTGGTGGTGACTAACCAAAACTAAACGTGACGCAACTGCAAAGAACTACACATACACACACGCACACACACACACACACACGAGTGCATATAAAGCTGATGACATCCGAATAAGCTCTACAGAGTGCGTCAACATCATCTTCCTGGTTTTGACACTGTACTACAGGTATGTAAAATGTTACCACTGGAGAAAACTGGGTGAAAGGTATATGGGCCTTCCTGTATACTTTTTTGGAACTTCCTGGAATCTATAATTACTTCAAATGAAAAGTTAAAAAAATAAACGTGGTGTAAACAAGAAGTATCTTACAATGGAGATTAACAAGAGATGCCTAGTGAGGCAGGAGGAAAACCAACAACGTCTGGTGTCATGAAAGACCTGAGAAACACACCAGGCCAAGAAAGAAGGGTCAGTGATACAGACGCCATTTGGGTGGAACGGCAGAAATGAAACCCAGTGGCTTAAAGAGCGACTTATCTATAGGTCAAATTTCTGGTTTCTAACTATTATAACAGACTATTATGTCTATAACTCAAGTGTGCTGATTCTGAGCTTACAAATAATAAGAGCTTACAACTTACTGGAAAAGTTACTTTGGAAGAGTGATGTCAGCATCATGGCAGAGTGAGTTGTTCCCTTTGTCTCTCCCCTCTAAGTTACAAGTAAACAGACATCCATTAACCAACAGAGGATTTGCTACACAACCCAACAGGATGCCTGAGAGATCCACGCAGCTATACACCTGAAGGTGGGTGTATACTGAACCCCAGGGAAGCAGCAGAACTAAGGGAGGGACCCCTTCCCCAACCAGCAGCAACAATCCATGTCTCAGATCCTCACATAGTGGCTAGTGGACTGCGAGTAGAGGTGGGGGCAGCCTGGCCCACACGCAAATGCTTCTGGAGTGGCAGCCTGGCCCATGGGTATACCCACCTACTGCAGGTGTGGGTGAGCACACCCAAATAGTCGTCACCCAGTGGTGGGAGCCCAGCCTGCACAAAGGCGCCCCACTTGCCTAGCACAGCAGCCAGGTCAGACCCACCTGCCAAGCTCTGTGGCCCAGACTGCATGAAGGTGTCCCACTTGCATGAGCACAACACACCCACTGAGTACAGCACTGGGCTGTAACCCACCTGCCAAGCTCAGCAGCCCCACCCACACCAGTACAATGCACTGAGCAGCTGCAGCCAGCTTACACAAACACAGAGCACCCGACCAGCACAACTATGAGTAGACGGGATGGGAACAGAAAACACAGCCCCTGCCAACCTCCAGCAGTGGCAGATGGAATCTGTGACCAGATACTACCATAAATGCGCCAGCGGAGGATCAGTTCATCAAACACCATGAAGAACTACAGAAACACAGCAGAAGAGAAGGAAAATGGCAACTCTCCAGGAACCA